ATTTATTTATTTATTTATTGAGATAGAGTCTTGCTCTGTTACCCAGGCTGGAGTCCAGTGGCACAATCTTGGCTCACTGCAACCTCTACCTCCCAGGTAGCTGGGACTACAGGTGCATACCACTGTGCCCGGCTAATTTTTGCATGTTTAGTAGAGACGGGGTTTTGCCATGTTGACCAGGTTGGTCTCAAGTTCCTGATTTCAGGTTATCCGCCCGGCTTGGCCTCCCAAAGTGCTGGGATGACGGGCATTAGCCACTGGTCCCGGCCCAGTTTCTCTTGATTTGAACCTGTAATTCTCTCTGAGGAAATCTAGTCACTATTTTTCCACCTTGCCCTCAACTAGAGGTGTCTTGGTCCTTCCTAATTGGATTATCTGCCTCCAGTGGTCTTGTCGTTTTTCTAACTCATTCTCCATTGTGTAGCCAGAGTGATCTTGTAAAGTAAGAGACATTTAATAATGTCATTTTCTTGCTTAAAACTGCCTTCAGCAAGATGTCCAAAATTCAAATGACTATGAGGCTATTTCTGATCTGGGCCTTTCCAATCTTTCAGGCTTGATTACTTACCGAAACCTACCCATCCCAACCCCAACTCTGACACCTCCCCATGCTTATTCCACGCTGAACTTCACTAGAACTCTGTTGAACAACTTACACACTGTGCTTCTCTCTTATCTCCAGACCTTTGCACAGGTATTTCTTCTGCTTTAAAGACTCTTGCCTTACTTCTCTATGACCTAATCTGCAACACGCATCCCCGGGTTACTCCTACTCATCCCTCAGATCTTACTTCAACGTAAGTTTGTCCAGCTAGCTTCCCTTAACACATTCTATTTCTTTCATTATAGCAAGTGTTATAATCACCTGTTTACCCCTTTTATTACCTTTCACTGGACTGTGCATTCTATAAGGGAAGGAATTGCATCTGTTTTGTTCCCCAAATGCCTGGCATATTGTAGATGCTCATAAATATTTTTTAAATGACTCTGTAAAAACAAAAAACTCAGTTTTTAAAATTTTTGTAAAAAGTAAACAAAAACAAGAAGACTCCATCGCAAAAAAAAAAAAAAAAAAAAAGACAGGGTCTTGCTTTTTGGTCCAGGATGGTCTTAAACTCCTGGGCTCAAGTGATCCTCCTGTCAAATCTCAAAATACTGGGATTACAAGTGTGAGCCACCACCCCCAGCTAGACTAGTAAACTAAGTATAAGGCTTTAAACTACCAGTTTTAAAAAGACATGCTTATATAATTACTAGTTTTATGTAATTTGTATTTGAAGCAATTGTACATTCATCTATGAACAATACTAAAGACACCTAATTCTATGGAGACCACCTGTACCAATTTGCCTGAGGTGACACCCCAACTGATCCCTAGTGATTCAAGGCAATTATTAATAACCCCATTTTCATTCTCAAATACATCCTGGTTGAACATATAGTCTAACTCTTAACACAATTATTTGACTAAAATAGGTCTTTCCTTGATTTTAAAAAATAATTCAGCCGGGTGCAGTGGCTCATGCCCGTAATCCCAACATTTCGGGAGGCCAAAGTGGAAGTCTTTATACTGACATTACAATCATCAACCATTTTCTCCTTGAGCTATTTACTGTTCCCTTTTATACCTTTTTTCAAGTCAAATCAAGCTGCTCAAAGTTCCAGCAGATATGCTGAGTAAACTTCTGCTACAGTTTATTTACTCTGCCTTAGAAGTGCCCTTCTGATTTTTTATTCTGTATGCTTATTATACATAGTGCAGCTTAAATGTTCCTCCAAGAACCCGTCCCAGGTCACACTAACATGAAAAAGTGCCCACCAGACCCCTCTAAACTCCTTTTTTTTTTTCTTTTTTGTTTTCTGAGACGAAGTTTTGCTCTGTTGCCCAGGCTGGAGTGCAATGGGATTAAAGCATGAGCCACTGTGCCTGGCCTACTTAAACTCCTTTATCACTTACTGCTATGCCTCTTTTTTTTTTTTTTTACAAAAAGTTAGAGCATGCATGTCCATGCTTGAGTGTGTTTGTGTGTGTGTGTTTATTTTCTCACATAGGTTGTAAACTCTTTGAAATTAGGGATTATTTCTCCTACTTCTAGAGTCTTTGACATCAGATTTGCTTGGCTTCAGAGCTTGATTGTCCCACTTGTTTGCTGTGTGACCTTGGACAAATTACTTCTCCTTGCCCATCAGTTTCCTGTGTGTTGAAGAGGGCTAACATGTATGTTCCATAGGGAAATTGTAAGATATAAAGATGACATCTGGGCTGAGCACCTTGGCCCACACCTGTAATCCCAGCACTTTGGGAGACTGAGGTGAGTGGACCGCTTGAGGTCAAGAGTTTGAGACCAGCCTGGCCAACGTGGTGAGACCCCCCCACCCCTACTAAAAATATAAAAATTAGCTGGACATGGTGGCACACACCTGTAGTCCCAGCTACTTGGGAGGCAGAGGCATCAGAATCACTTGAACCTGGGGCACAGAGTAAGCTGAGATGGTGCCAATGCACTGCAGCCTGGATGACAGAGCGAAACTCCATCTCAAAAAAAAAAAAAGATGGTGTCGACATCATCTTTTTTTTTTTTTTTTTTTGAGATGGAGTTTCGCTCTGTCACCTAGGCTGGAGTGCAGTGGTGGGATCTTGGCTCACTGCAGCTTCTGCCTCCTGGGTTCAAACAATTCTTGTGACTCAGCCTCCCTACTAGCTGGGACTACAGGTGTGTGCTACCATGTCCAGCTAATTTGTATATTTTTAGTAGAGAAGGGATCTTGCCATGTTGGCCAGGTTAGTCTCAAACTCTTGACCTCAAGCGGTCCACTCACCTCAGTCTCCCAAAGTGCTGGGATTACAGGTGAGAGCCACCTGGCCTGGCCTGTCTGAAAATACTTTTAAAGTATTCAGCACATAGGAGGCACTCAATAAATGTTATGTTTGGTGGTTTGTGTTGCCCCAGACCCATGAATAGTTCAATAGGAGTTGTGTCGTTGTTGAAGGTAAGACTGTCTAGTAGTTTAATTTCCTTTCACAGATTTTAAAAATATGATTATTTAAATCAAAATGAATCTATATACTTCAAAAATTTCCCCACTGTCCCTAAATTTTATGTCTGATGAAACAGGTTGATTTACTCCTTTGATTTTATTGCTGAGTCAGGTTTATGAGCGCTGAAGGAGAAAGGAAGGACAAACAAAATAGAAATGTTTGGGAAAGAAAATTCTTTCCTTAAAGAATTTAATGAAAACCATCATTAAAACTGCTGGTTTTAAGCTTTCAATTTTAATTATTTTAGTTAGGCTTTATATTTTCTGAATTGTTAATGTTAATAAGAATAAAATATAGATATTATAAACATTAGTTGATTTAGGGTGATCTTTAAAGTTAAGATAAATGATTTAAGATTATTCATGTTTTAGGAAAGGGATCTTCAGTTTTTGTTTGCCTTCAGAAATCAGTAATAACTTGGAAATTAAAGTAAATAAGAATTTAAATGTATTGTTCTTGTCAGTAAACCAAACTTTTAATTTTATATTATTTGCTATCAGAAAAAGCCAAAATTCTAGTTTATAAATATGTATTAAAACATGACTGTAATATATGTTTATTATAACATAGCCTTTAAAATTTAAGAGCTAATTACCACTAATATACATGACTTTTTTTTTTTAAAGTAAAAGTGACTTTGCTACATACATGAAAAGGTTTCACTTATCAATATTCCTACTAAGAAGGATAGAAATTTCTACATAGAGAAGTAAGCTCAGGGCTTTAAAATTAAATAAGTAAATAAATTTCTATAGTTTATATTTACAGTGTGATATAGTTAAATATTAATAGCATTGAAATATTAACTTTCAAAATAAAATATTATGGCCGGGTGTGGTGGCTCACACCTGTAATTCTAGCACTTTGGGAGACTGAGGCAGGAGGATTGCTTGAGCTCAGGAGTTCAAGTCAAGCCTGGGAAACAAAAAGTCTAGCCTGGGAAGCATAGTGAGTCCAGCCTGGGAAACATAGTGAGTCCAGCCTTGTCTCTACAAATAATAAACAAAATTAAGTGGGTCTGGTGGCGTGTGCCTGTGGTCCCAGATACTCAGAAGGCTGAGGTGGGAGGATTCCTTGAGACTGGAAGGTCAAGGCTTCATTGAGCTCTGATCGCACCACTGCACTCCAGCCTGGGCAACAGAGTGAGACCCTGTCTCAAATATACACACACACACATACACACAATACCTTTCAGACACTTAGGTTTTGATATATAGAGTTGAATACATTTGGACCTACTTATTTCTTTCTTTCTTTTTTTTTCTTTTGAGACAGAGTCTTGCTCTGTCACCCGGCTGGAGTGCGGTGGTGTGATCTCGGCTCACTGCAATCTCCGCCTCCCAGGTTCAAGTGATTCCCCTGCCTCAGCCTCCTGAGTAGGTGGGACTACAGGTGGGTGCCCCCATGCTCAGCTAATTTTTTGTATTTTAGTAGAGATGGGGTTTCACCATGTTGGCCAGGATGGTCTCGATCTCTTGACCTCGTCATCCTCCCACCTCGTCTGGTATTACAGGTGTGAGCCACTGCGCCCTACCTACTTATTTCTATAATAGATTTTTAAATAATATTATACTAAGGTATTATATAAAATAGTTAATTCTAAAAAGTCATCTATAAGTTACTATAAGTAAACTTTGGGGTATTGTACTATACAAGTTTTTCATTGTTTTTAGAAATTATTACTTTAGAATTCTTTAGTAGTTTTAGTTGAGGAAGTCCAGTGGCTTAAGCATACCTATAAGCTGATGTATTTATACAGAATACACTGTTAAAATGTCTTTACTTTCAGAAGGAATTTTGGGCAAGGGTCATAATATAACAAATATAAATCTAAGGATATAATATTTCTATTGTGATAATGGTTCTACTTTTAGAATAGAATTGAAATTCAATTTATACTTAGAGATAATCCATTGAGATTGCTTATAAATGCTTTTACTTTTTGTTTTCTCATCTGTAGATTTGTGTTCGCTATTTTCAAATATGTAGTAATGTTCATGTTTTGAAGCCAAATTATGTGTGTTTCTTCGGTTATCCTTTATTCAAGTATAGTCATCCACATCTCTTCCTGAAAACAACTGCTGGTAAGTATGTTTCAGAATAACATGTGTAAAATAATGCTTTGTATCTCATTCAGTAATATTATTATTTTTTTATGGCCAATAAACATCACGTTTATTTTCCTGAAAGAAAACATATCTTCATACCTTAGGATAACTATTAATATTAGTAACTAACAATTGTTTTTATTTATAAACTTGCTTTTTATCTAATAAAGTCACCAATGATACAAAATATATAACTTGAATGTTTAGAGACCAGAAAAAAAGTTAATAACCAGCCTACATTTAAAAATTGATTATTTAACATGTTAAAATAAATTGAACCTACTCTAAAAGAGAAGCTTGCTGATTTGAAAGATGACATCATCCTTTAATTTATTATGTTAACACCACTGATGACATAATTAAATGAGAGCCTAAAATGAACTAATTAGCTTACCTCTTTAACTTCCCCGTCATTGCTAATAGTAATCAGCCAGCTGAAAATATGAAGCAGTGACAACAAGGCTGTGTGAGCTCATGCAATTCCTTTTCCTCTACAAACCCATAGAAATATTGGATTAAATATGATAATTTTCTTCAATATGTAGCCCAAGGATAGGGGAGGAAATGAGCAGATACCTAAAACAAAGGAATACCAAAATCCTGAATAAGCCTTTAGCTGAAACAGGCATTTCAGGATGGACTGGACATATGTAATGTAAGTCTGAGTTAAAAATACTCACACAGGATCTTTGGCAGATGACAGATAGAACTGATATTCTTGTATACCTGAAGAACTTATTCTCCATAAGGAAGTCATTAGGTAACAACCTCTCTCATGGATTCAAGAGTGAAAAAAAAAAATCTTTAAGAAGAATGGAAGCTCCAAGCAAATGTGAAATTCACATTCATTCTACCCAGGTGTTGGGAAAATTCTTTTTTTTTTTTTAAGTGATGCTTCTTTTTTATTAGAGTACCCAAAATATTTGTTAACTATATTCAAAAAAAGCATAAATACAAGGTGATGAGGGGACAGAAATATGAGAACTACTTTTCACCCTTATCTCTATTATAGGTTGAGCATTCCTAATTCAAAAATCCAAAATGTGTATTAAAACATTTCATGCACCCCACAAATATATACACCTACTATGTACCCACAGAAATAAAAATGACAAAATTTGAAAAAATGAAAAATGTGCCAAAATCCAAAAGTTCTTGAGCAGTAACATGACATTGAAAGAAAATGGTAATTGGAGCATTAACTTTAGCAAATAATTCTAGCAGATCCTAATATATGGATTTTTGTATTAAGGGTGTTAAACCAGTAAGTATACTGCAACTATTCCAAAATTTGAAAAAAATCCAAAATCCAAAACTCTGTCAGTCCCAACTATTTTAGATAAGTGATAATTAACCTTATATTCTGTTGAAATGTACCATACATATATTTCATATTCTAAAGAGAAATCACGTTTGGTATCCTGCAGATATAACTTTGAGATATACAGCAATATTTCATTTGTGAACCCAAATTATGCCTTTTCTTTATCAGATTTTAGAGCATTTTGAAAGTTAATGATTAACATAATAGTTGAAAGAAAACACTCTTTTACTTTCAAAACAATTCTACATTGAATTCAGCGGGCAGTTTTATTTGATTCTTTACCTAGACATGCCACTGAACTTGGGAGAAGGAATTTTTTTTTTTGCATTTTAGGTTTTGGGGTACATGTGAAGAACATGCAAGATAGTTGCATAGGTACACACATGGCAGTGTGATTTGCTGCCTTCCTCCCCTTCACCTATATCTGGCATTTCTCCCCATGCTATCTCTCCCCAACTTCCCACCCCCCACTGTCCCTCCCCTATTCCCCCCAACAGACCCCAGTGTGTAGTGCTCCCCTTCCTGTGTCCATGTGTTCTCATTGTTCAACACCCGCCTATAAGTGAGAACATGCGGTATTTCATTTTCTAGTCTTGTGTCAGTTTGCTGGGAATGATGGTCTCTAGGTTCATCCATGTCCCTACAAAGGACACGAACTCATCATTTTTGATGGCTGCATAATATTCCATGGTGTATATGTGCCACATTTTCCCTATCCAGTCTATCATCGATGGGCATTTGGGTTGGTTCCAGGTCTTTACTATAGTAAACAGCGCTGAAATAAACATTCGTGTGCATGTGTCCTTATAGTAGAACAATTTATAATCCTTTGGCTATATACCCAGTAATGGGATTGCTGGGTCAAATGGAATTTCTATTTCTAGGTCCTTGAGGAATCGCCACACCGTCTTCCACAATGGTTGAACTAATTTACACTCCCACCAGTAGTGGAAAATTGTTCCTATTTCTCCACATCCTCTCCAGCATCTGTTGTCTCTAGATTTTTTAATGATCACCATTGTAACTGGTGTGAGATGGTATCTCAGTGTGGTTTTGATTTGCATTTTTCTAATGACCAGTGATGATGAGCATTTTTTCATGTTTGTTGGCCTCATGTATGTTTTCTTTTATAAAGTGTCTGTTCATATCCTTTGCCCACTTTTGAATGGGCTTGTTTGTTTTTTTCCTGTAAATCTGTTTGAGTTCTTTGTAAATTCTGGATATCAGCCCTTTGTCAGATGGGTAGATTGCAAAAATTTTTTCCCATTCTGTTGGTTGCCGATTCACTCTAATGACTGTTTCTTTTGTTGTGCAGAAGCTGGGGAGTTTGATTAGGTGTCTTTTGTCTATTTTGGCTTTTGTTGCCAATGTTTTTGGTGTTTTGGTCATGAAGTCCTTGCCTATGCCTATGTCCTGAATGCTTTTGTCTAGATTTTCTTCTAGGGTTTTTATGGTGTTAGGTCTTATGTTTAAGTCTTTAATCCATCTGGAGTTGATTTTAGTGTAAGGTGTCAGGAAGGGGTCCAGTTTCTGCTTTCTGCACATGGCTAGCCAGTTTTCCCAACACCATTTATTAAACAGGGACTCCTTTCCCCATTGCTTGTTTTTGTCAGGTTTGTCAAAGATCGTATGGTTGTAGATACGTTGTGTTGCCTCCGAGGCCTCTGTTCTGTTCCATTGGTCTATATCTCTGTTTTGGTACCAGTACCATGCTGTTTTGATTACTGTAGCCTTGTAGCATAATTTGAAGTCCAGTAGTGTGATGCCTCCTGCTGTGTTCTTTTTGCTTATAATTGACTTGGCTATGCGGGCTCTCTTTTGGTTCCATATGAAGTTTAAGGTGTTTTTTTCCAGTTCTGTGAAGAAGGTCATTGGTAGCTTGATGCGGACAGCGTTGAATCTTTGTAAAAGATTCCAAAAGTAAGTTACTTTGGACAGTATGGCCATTTTCACAATATTGATTCTTCCTAACCATGAACATGGAATGTTTCTCCATCTGTTTGTGTCCTCTCTTATTTCGTTGAGCAGTGGTTTGTAGTTCTCCTTGAAGAGGTCCTTTACGTTCCTTATTAGTTGTGTTCCTAGGTATTTTATTCTCTTTGTAGCAATTGTGAATGGCAGTTTGTTCTTGATTTAGCTCTCTTTAAGTCTGTTATTGGTGTAGAGGGATGCTTGTGATTTTTGCACATTGATTTTGTATCCTGAGACTTTGCTGAAGTTGCTTATCAGTTTCAGGAGATTTTGGGCTAAGACGATGGGGTCTTCTAGATATACAATCATGTCGTCTGCAAATAGAGACAATTTGACTTCCTCCTTTCCTAATTGAATACCCTTTATTTCTTTTTCTTGCCTGACTGTTCTGGCTAGAACTTCCAGTACTATATTGAATAGGAGTGATGAGAGAGGGCATCCTTGTCTAGTGCCAGATTTCAAAGGGAATGCTTCCAGTTTTTGCCCATTCAGTATGATATTGGCTGTTGGTTTGTCATAAATAGCTTTTATTATTTTGAGATATGTTTCCTCAATACTGAGTTTATTGAGGGCTTTTAGCATAAAGCGCTGTTGAATTTTGTCAAAGGCCTTCTCTGCATCAATTGAGATAATCATGTGGTTTTTGTTTTTGGTTCTGTTTATGTGGTGAATTACGTTTATAGACTTGCGTATGTTGAACCAGCCTTGCATCCCCGGGATGAATCCTACCTGATCATGATGGACAAGCTTTTTGATGTGCTGTTACAATCGGCTTGCCAGTATTTTATTGAATATTTTTGTGTCTATTCAGTAATATTTTTTAGTAGTTGATTGAAGACCTTCTAAATTAAAACGAAAGTTGACTCTGTATTTTTAGCTGGGCCCTCCCTATCTCCCTGCATCTTTCCAATTCTCATTTTCTTTTTTCTTGCCCTTTTTGTTTTTTACATAGTTTCCTTAATACTGGCACCTTGTTTTAAAAAAATTGATTTAGAGACAGGATCACACTCTGTCGGCCAGGTTGGAGTTTAGTGGTGCAACTGCAGCTCACTATAACCTGAACTCCCGGGCTCAAGCTCAAAGAACTGGGATTATAAGTGTGAGCTATCTGGCCCAGCACTTGTGACTTTATAAAGTTGGGCATGGGTTGTGTTGCACCATCTGTTATCATCTGGCTCATCTAAGGGCAACAGTCAGCATTGATACGACTTTCTCAATCAAGGTAATTGTAAATTTAATAGAAGTATCTTTGTGTTGTTCTACACATTGTGGTATTGTTTGTTGAATGAAGCACTTAATCTGTCATGTGAACATGGTGTGATGAAATCAGCCTGATTAGTCCTAAATACAAAGTTCCCTGGCTTTTACCATGTAAAGAACTTGAAGGATTAAGGATTAGATTTGGCAAGGGCACGAAAACTGTTATTTTTCCCTGATGTTCTATTGAGAACCCTGATAAAGAACTGTAGAATTTTGTTACACCATTAAGTTTTTGACAGATACATGGGGGCTTTGTTTGTGCTGGCAATGAAAAATGGGGGAATTTCAGGCAGACCCCAAGTCACTCTTTCCATGCTCTTTTTTTTTTTTTTTTGAGACAGAGTCTTGCTCTGTTGCTCAGGCTGGAGTGCAGTGGCACAATCATAGCGCACTCTCACCATAACCTCAGACTCATGGGCTC